TTGCTCTAGGGTTTTCTCTTTGTTTTCCTCAGTTTTGTCAAGGTTTTCTTTGATCTCTCTCTCAATCCATTGAAGGTACATAAAAATAATTATTTTGAATTTCTTATCAGGGAGTTCCAATGCTGCTTCTTCCTCAGGGATGTTTCTTGATCTGTATCTTCATCTCTTGTTTCTCCTGCTTTGTCTTGCTTCTTTATGTGGACTGTGATGCTCTGCTGTCTCTGAGACATTGTGATGTTTTTGTGTTTATATTTAATTGGTGATTGTATGTGGAGTGATTTGTCCAAGATTTTCATTTTCTTTGTTTTGTTTGGATTTTATCTAAGTAAGCAGGGTACTGTGCTCCTCTATTCACTATGTGGCACTTATGCACTCACCACCTGTCTCATTTCCTGTTGTCAGTCTCCCATACGACCCTGCTGTCCTTGGCAAGCAGAGCCTATTCTAAGATCCCTGGAATCTGAATGAGAATGCTGTCACTTTAAATATCCAAAATGGCCACTGCTTGTAACAATCATAATGGCTGCACCCCCAGTCAGCCGAAAATCCACAGCTCAGGTTGTCTCCCTCTTTGGTATCTCCCTTCCTAGTCATTGGCTACTGCTGCAGTTGTCCCTACAGCCCTTGGTGACCAGGGCTGATCGTTAGGTCAATTCTCAGGTCCTAACACCACTTGGAAATATTCAGTCTGTTGGTGCCGTCAGAGTAGCTGACAATCCACAGCTCCGTCCATCTCTGTACTCACTGTTTTCATTCAGGTTCTTCCACTAGTTGGTGGTTAATCCACTTCTGTATACTTCCTTTGAAAGCTCAGGGCTCCAGGATTATCTTCTGTATCTCTGTCAATTGGTTTCTCTTTTCTTTGTTGAAGAGGGTCTGTGTAGCTTGTCTGCATATTCCACCATATTACTGTAAGTTCATAAATCTAATTTTTCCTGGGCAGCAGACCTAAGCCATATTTTGGGTGTAGCAACCAAATGGGTTTATCCTAGTTGAAACCCCCAAATGCAGCTAATTTCTCAATGTAGATAATTTCAACAAGAAATTTGAAGAAAATGGTCTTGTATAGGAATCCTGGATATTACCTACCTTTTTCCTTTTTTCAAGAATATTTGCAGGAATTATGGCAGCTACAATTGGGCAGTGGGAATTTTATGTGTGATAGAGACAGAGGATGAATATGCAGTTCATAAACAAAGTGGTGTGTGTGTGTGTGGTGGGGTGGGGGGTGTGTATGTATGTATGTGTGTGTGGGTGTCTTTACTGTGCACTCAGTACTTGGCTTATGTCACTTAGCATGGCCTGAGTTTTCAGTATGTCTTTTCTCTATCACTGCATTAAAATATTTATTAACTAGCCATACACACATACATGTCTAGAATAGAGCACAGTACATTGTAAAATATCCATAATAGCAGCAGGAGCTCTGGTGACATAGTGTCTAAGGCATTTTGACTGCTAACCAGAAGGCTGGCGGTTCAAACACACAGTTTTAGATAATATTTAGTTTTAAGGTAATATTCAGAAGGAAGGCTGGGCAACCTACTTTTGTGGTGATACTACCTCAGAAACCCAAGGAGGGGTTGCTATGAGTCAGATCCAACTCAACAGCAGTGAGTTTGGTTTGGTTTTTGGCTTAGTGTTATTGACAAACATTGAATGAGTAAATGATTACAGCCACATTAGTAGTGAACAGCACCAACTGCAAAGTAGTTAATTTCTCAGCCTTTTGCCACACTTCTATCATCCTGGTCTTGATACTGCCCAGATACCTGATCTCCAGCATAAGGATGACAATTTTGCTGTGATTAATTATTGCAGAAGCCATTGATATATGCCACTATTTTTGTCTTTTCTTTTTGCATAGCCAAATTGTAATCATTTAAGGCAGAAAGGGAAGACATTGGAGGGGTACTCAGAGAAGTAGGTTTAGAGAGAACATCCCTTAGTAGGAAACCGAAGGAAATTTCTCCGGTAGCATAGTGGCTAAAGCACTTGACTGCTAACCAGACGGCTGGCGGTTCAAACCCACCAGCCACTCCTCGGAAGGAAGGTTGGGCAATCCTACTTCCGTAGTGATACTGCCTCGGAAACCCAAGGAGGGGTCGCTATGAGTCGGGGCTGACTCGACGGCACATAACAACAACAACAACAACAATTGTTTTCAGCTTTCACTCATGTGTTGCCCAGAGTGGGGTGGGGGACTCTAGATAGAACCAGGAACCTGCAGCAGGGCTTATAAAGCCAGGCCTCATTTCCAAAAGAACCTAGATTCCCTTGTACCTTTTAATCAGGTCCATCTCTGCCTGGTCCCTCTTATTGAAGAGCAGGTTTCGACTGTTTTCAAAGATATCTTCAATCTGGTCTGGCCAGAGGAACAGAGTGCTGTTCAACTTGATATCTTCTTCTGCAAAACACAGACAGTCTGCTCTAGGACATGGCTTGACATAGAGTTAGTCCAGCAGAATGAAAGGTCAGTAGAAAAGTGGGTGTGGGGAGGACAGGGAGAGGGGCATTCTGAATGACCAGTTCAGTCCCCCAAGTCCATTATGATTAAGAGTCAACATTTACTAAGGGTCAGGCTAGAAGATAGGTGGTATTGTAATTCCTGTTTTCACAGACAGTACACCCAGAGGTTAAGCCAAATGGTCAAGCTCACACTGTATTATGGATAGTATTGTGTCCTCCCAGAATATGTGTTGGAATCCTACTCCCTATACTTGTGGTTGTGATTTTGTTTGGGAATAGGGGTTTCTTTGATACATGAATCAGAACCTATGAGTAGAGGGTGAGTCCTAAACATAATCACTTCTGAGTTATAGAAAAAGCAGATTTGACACAGAGGCTAGCATATACTTGGGAAGATGGATGCCATGTGGAGATCTCCGAGAGCCAAGGAATGCTCAGAGCTACCAACTAGGAAGGTATCAACGAGGAAAGAATCAACACAGGTAAGACCCTGATTCGGCCTTTTAGCCTCCAGAGCCATGAGAAAATAAATTTTTGTTCTCTAAAGCCAGTCACTTGTGGTATTTGTGTTACAGCATCACTAGCTTACTAAGACACACTGTTAGAAGGTGGCAAAGCAGAATTCAAATCCAGGTTTAACCAACTCCAAAGCCTAAATTTTTATCCATTATGCTTTATTACCTTTCCAGGCTAGGTCTGAGTAGAGGCAGAAACCTGGGTTGAAGTTCTGGTTCTGTTCTTCAAATTATCTCACCTTGTCTGAGTCTCCATTCCCTTTTTGGTTAAATGGATGTAATAATATCAATGCCTGATGTTCCACCCATCTTAAGGCTCTGGTCAATCAAAATGCCCTGGCTTCCCACCATACACTTGGGAACTTTGGGGCAGAAATCACAGTAGGAGAATTAAGTGGTTTGTGTATGTGCCCAAGGGCACAGGCCATGAATGTCTGGGTAGATGGTTAGAGGAACGTTTTTCACTCCCAGTCCCCATCTCCTCCTCCTACCACTGACCCTCTACTGCCTCCAATTGTGAACATCACATTAATACCTATCAAGGTAATTAATAGGTATTTCCATGTGGAAAAGGATCTGAATCCTGGCTTGTGGAGAGCATATCTGCTTTTCCTTCAGTACCTGGACCAGGTTACAAATCTCTACCTTGGGCCAGTGAGCCTTTCAGGGGCCAATACCATTTCTTTTCTTTTAAAATATGCATGAGTATGAAGGAAAATGCTCTGGCCCCTTCAAAGGTGGGGCTGGATTAAGATTATAGATGAGTGTAATCTATCCATTTATAAAGAGCATGAAGTGGCTTTTCCAAGAATACGAGGGACAAGATGCCAAGATAGGTATCTAAGAACTAGAAGGCAAAATTCTAGAGAGTGCCTGTTTTTGTCTAATAAGGTTCCTTCTGTTTGCTGTTATTCATTATTACATTATGATAACATATGGGTTCTTTTAAAAAGCAGTGATCCTGCTATTCATTAGCATCCCCTGCTTCTTGAACCCTAAAAATATAAACATCCATATATATTTGCATATACATATATAGTATTGGACATACGGGGCAAGTCTGCATAGTCCAACAAAAACTCTAGGCGTTCAATTGCATCTCTAAGTTGCCTCCTGAGTTTGAACACAGTGACGTCACTGGATTTCTTTAAGAATTCAATGAGGAACACCAGTTCTTCAGTGTTGGCAGGAATCTCACTGACTTTGTCTGCAATGGTGCTGTACTGATTACAAATGCTACAGAGAAAGGAAAAACATCATCATCATCACCATCACCTCCATCACCATCATCTTGTAAAATAACTTTTTTTGTAAGTAAATCATGCTGAACAGATATGATTCCTATTTGGAGACCAGAACAACAGCTTCCAACTTTTCTCCATCTGTAAATCCTTGATGAATAATATTTATATGCACATTACTCATACCAAACTTGTTGCTTCCAAGTCATTTCTGATTTATAGTGACCCAATGGGGGTTGCTATGAGTCAGAAGCAACTCAATGGCAGTGGGTTTGGTTTTTTGGATAAGGAAAATATAGCTGGGCTGCTAATTGAAAGGTTGGCAATTTGAAACCACCAAATGGTTTCATGGGAGAAAAGACCTGGCAATAGGCTCCTGTAAATATTATAGCACAGAAAAACCGATGGGGCAGTTCTGCTCTGACCCATGGAGTTGCTATGAGTTGGAATCAACTCAACAGCACCCAGAAACAATAGCAAGGAAATTATATATTTATTTTGATAAAGACAGATGAACTGACCAACGAAAGGACCATGTTGCTTTGATTTGGCAGGAAGAAAATGAACTGATGCTTATGAAAAATACTGTAATTCCTCAAACTTTCCAAAGAAAAAAGTGTCCTAGTAGCATGAAGGCTGAAAACCACTGTCCTAGTCCTAAACCCTCAGGCTAACAGACAAATAAATGGGAGATCAGAGAAGTAAAATGACTTGCCAGGAGCTGCCCAGGGAGTCAATGGAAGGACTTGGATTCAAAAGCAAGTCTCTGGTTCCAAAGCCAGGAATCTCAGCACTTCATCACTCAGTGACAAACATAAATGTCAGGGCTAAGAATATGGGCTTTGGAGTCAAAATAAGCTAGGTTAAACCACAGATATTCCACTTGCTAACCTCTCTGAGTCTCAGTTTCTTCATCAACACAGTGGAGAAGGTAAAATCAATTTCTTTTATTTATTTATATTGTGTTGTGGGTGCCAATTTTCAAATCAGATTTGTTTTACACTCAACAGTTCATGCACATTTGATTTAACACCCCAATTACAATCCCCAACCATAAAAACTCTCCTCCCCCTCCTCCCTATCTGTGCTCGTATTATCTATGCATCCCTGTCTGTTCAGCTTTCCCTCTATGTTAATGCTACCTCTCTGTTGTCTCATGGTTAATTGATCTAAGGGGTGCATCTCCCTAGGGTAGCTGGGTACATCTCCCTGGGGTAGGTGTTCTGCATGTAGGTCTTTCTACTGTTGGGCTGAGAGCCAGTCCACAGAATTAAGTCCATTCATTACTAGGGCCATAGTCTCAGGGGTTCCACCAATCTCTATCTGACCAGGAAATCTGGTCATTTTTGTGTTTTTTAATTTTGTTCCACATTTTTCCTCCCACTCTCACCAGAATCCCCAATTCTGATGCCTTTCCAAGTGGTTGGCATTGGTAGCTGGGCACCATCTAGTTCTTCTGGTCTCAGGGTCATGAAGGCTGAGGTTCTCGTGATCTATCATATCTTTGGACTAATTGTTTCCAAATGACTTTGCTTTTCTTCACTCTTCTTTGCTCCAGGCAAGAGAAGACTAATAGTTGCATCTTAATTGGCCACTAAACAGTTTTTTAGACCTCAGTTGCTACTCACCAAAGTAGGATGTAGAACAAGATTTTTATGTACTATGTTGTGCCAATTGACCATGATGTCCCTTGAGACCATGGTCCCAAGCCTGAAGGCCTGGTGATTGTCTCTCTCAAGGTGTTTTATTGTCTCTGAGAAGCTACTCCAACCCTGTCCTCTGTTACTTCTGTAATGCATGTGGATAATTTTGTAGCACAAATACATATGTAAGATTATCTTCAGCCAATCTATGCTTGTTGTTAGGTGCCATCGAGTTGGCTCTGACTCATAGCAACCCTATGTACAACAGAATGAAACACTGCCTGGTCCTGAACCAGACTCATAGTCTGTGCTATGCCTGAGCCCATCATTGCAGGCACTGTGTTAATCCATCTCATTGAGGGTCTTCCCCTTTTTTGTTGACCCTCCACTTTACCAAGCATGATATCCTTCTCCAGGGAATGGTCCCTTCTGATAACATGACCAAAGTAGGTCAGACAAAGTCTGGCCATTCTTACTTCCAAGGAGGATTCTGACTGCACTTCTTCCAGGATAAATCTTTTAGTTCTTTTGGCAGTCCATGGTACCCTCAGTATTCTTAGCCAACACTACAACTCAAAAATGTCAACTCTTCTTTGGTCTTCTTTATTCATTGTCCAGCTTTCACATGCATAGGAGATGACTGAAAATACCATGGCTTGGGTTAGGTGCACCTTAGTCTTCAAAGAGACAACTTTGCTCTTCAGCACTTTAAAGAGATCTTTTGTGTCAGATTTTCCCAGTGCAACACGTCATCTGATGTCTGCTGCATCCACTGGCATTGATTGTGGAACCAAGTAACATGAAATCTTTGACAAATTCAATCTTTTCTCCATTTATCATGATGCTGCTTATTGGTCCAGTTGTGAGGATTTTTATTCTCTTTATGTTGAAATGTAATCCACACATACATACATAGATGTAATCTATCCCTGGTTTTGGGTACATTCCTGTTCACCTACCCCCACCCAATCTTCTCACCTGTCTGTGCATTTACCCATAGCCTAGAGTTTGGTGCCACTGGTAATGCTACACTGTGCACATAACAGTATTTGCCTCTGTTGTCTGTATCTTGTGTGCACGTTTCTGTGTCCTCCATTTCTCCACTGCCCCCATGCTTGTCACAGATTCTTTCCATGCTGCCCCTCCCCTCACCCAAATTAATACGTGACCCTCAACTAGTCTGAAATTTTCTCTTCCCCTCCCTCTCACCCCCAGTAACCAACAAAGTGAATTTCCTCCTGAGTAAATCTTTCCTTGAAAGTTGATTTCTTATGGTTGTTAGGAAGACTTGATTAGCCTTGACTTGATCTCTAATATTCAGAATATTTATATGGTGCCTGGACTATAATATGTGCTGAACAAGTGGTAGCTATTATGATCTTTGGAGTCCCAGGATAATGCAGACTGTTAACACACTAGGCTGCTAACTGAAAGGTTAGAGGTTCAAGGTCACACAGAGGCTCACTGGAATAAAGGCCTGGTGATTGATCTACTTCCAAGAAATCAGCCATTGAAAACCCTACAGAGCATAGTTCTATTCTTACACAAATGGGGTAGCTGCAAGTTGGAATGGACTCGTCAGCAACTGGTTTTATTATTATCATTAATTTGCTGATGACTTTCTGATATGTATTTCATAAACCTTAAAGTACTATAAAATGTTACAATAATATATATGATAATACAACGTTGTTGTTGTTGTTGAGTCAATTTTCAATAGCAACTCCATGTAACAGAGTAGAATATCCCCATGGGATTTTCTTGATTATAATCTTTACAGGCCAATTGCCAGGCCTTTCTCCCATGGAGCCACTTGGTGAGTTCAAACCACCAACTTGCCAGTTAGCAACCAAACACTTAAATGTTGCACCATCAGGGCTCCTAAATAATATATATATATATACACACACACACATATACACACATACACACACACACACAATATACAATAGTAATAAAAACAAAAAAAACCTGAACTGCCATCAAGTTGATTCCAAGTCATAGTGACCCCCATTGGGTTTTTGAGGCTCTAAATCTTTACAGAAGCAGATTGTCCTATTTTCCTGCTGTGGAGTGGCTGGTGGGTTTGAACCGCTGACCTTCTGGTTAACATCCAAATGCCTGATCCACTATGCCACCAGAGCTCCTTATAACAGTAGTAGTGATCATTATTATTGGTGGTTCAAACCCACCAGCAGTTCTGTGCAAGGAAGATGAATCAATCAACTTCCATGAAGAGTTACTGCCTTGGAAACCCAACAGGGGTTGCTATGAGTCACAATGGACTCAATGGCAGTGGGTTGATTTTTTTAACATCATCTTAGTCTATACTTTAAAGTGAGAAAGATAAGTACTAGCCATTGCATAGCATTCAAATAGAGACAATGGAGCAAACAGTTGCTATCTTTGCCTCTCAGAGCCCTTTCCCTTTCCTGGTAACAACACCCTCTGCTTTCTTGGTGACTCATCCCTCTCCCTCTCTCTGTTCCTGTGGTTTAAGTATGGCTGACACTTACTCCAGGGCTGAGACCATCACCCAGAGCTGAGCCATCCTCTTAGCCACAGCAAATGGTTGAGCGTTGCACAAATGACCCAAGCCAGGGCTTTTGTGAGACTGTTGGAAAAAGAGAAAGTCCTCCCACAACTCCAACCTCACCTTTGGCTCCCCACCACGGGATAGCAACCTAGGAAGATGTAAGCCTGGACTCCTAAAGACAGCTTTTCAGAGCACAGAGCCTAAATATGAAAGTAGAGCAGAGAGAAATGGTACCCTCACTTGCAGTATTGAGTCTGGGCCCGGCATGCAGAGGCCAGCAACTCCTGAACTTTTCAACATATGAGTCCTGTACTCCCTTTCTTGCTTAAGACAGTCTGAGTTGAGTTTATACCCCTTACAACCAAAAATACAGACATTTTTCAGTAAAAATGAAAGCACAATATAGAGCTTAAGATCAAACAGCACAATTCCCAGACTGTACATGCCAAATAGCATTGCCATTTCTCCCAAGAGAGTAACAATACCTGGTGTTGGTGTCCCGGTTTACATCCACTTGGAATTGAATCAGCCGGTCTTTCAGATTTTGGGCTCGCTCACAGAGATCATAATTTAGGGCCATGGCATCAAGGCAGAACATGGCCAAAGGCACAGTAATGTGCATGGATGCAATTTCATTTCTTAGCTTCTTAATTTCATTGATCCTCTGTAGAAAGAAGCACATGCAGTAGCTTAGTTTGCCTTTGAGCCTCTCTACCCACTCCCTCTCAGAGCCGAATGTTGAGCATAGTATGTATACTAACCCAACAAGCACAGGTTGCTCACTGGCTTGTCTGTAGCACAGGCTATTAAGGCATGAAATGTGAAATGGCATCTCGTACCTTCACAAAATCCTCAATGTCATGATTTTCTTTCAGGAATGCAGTGATACTTTGTTCAGCCATGTTATCCAATAAGTCATCATACTTCTTATATACATTTAAGTATCTTCCATATTGAAAAACATAGAATAAAACACACAAATACAGGTCACCACATCAGATTAGTTTTAGTGTCAAGAAAAGCAAAAAAATCTTAAAAA